AACAGCCGTTTATGTGCAGCCCGTTTGACGACATCAGCTATGGTGAATTCGCGAAGTAAAACAAAACGCTGTTTGTTTGTGATTTCCGTTTATGCTCCCACCGACTGCAGTTCCAATTCAGTCAAGGACACTTTCTATCATGAACTGAACGCCCTACTACGCAGTGCTACTAGTTCAGATATTATAGTACTTGCAGGGGATATGAACGCACAAGTAGGGCGTCTGAGCTCTGCAGAAGCTCAGCTGGGTGGTAATTATGGACTTAACTCCGGACGGACTGACAACGGCGAGCGTCTGCTGCAACTGTGTGCGGAGCACCAGTTGTTTCTTAGTAGCACTGCTTTTAGACACAGTGGGCGCCGAAGTGCCCCTTGGCGTCCACCTGTAGCTGGCCAGCGACGGACCCAAATTGATCACATAGCCATAAGTTACAGGTGGCGCGGTTCCATTATGGATTGCCGCTCGTACTGGAGTACCGGTGTCGACTCTGATCATGCCTTGGTACGCTGTCGTTTCTCCATGAACTTTACCGGGAAGCTTATTAAGTGTCCCCTACGATTGGCAACGGAGAAATTGTCTCAGTTCTCGGTCAGGCAAGCCTATCAAGAAGCACTGCATAGCGAACTCTCGCTGTCTTGTCCTAATGACGCTGAGCTGCAGGCGAATAGGATCTCGGCCGCTATGCACGACGCAGGAGCATCTGTTTGTGGCACTATCAGTCGTCACCGCACCAGTCAATGGATATCCGAGAGGTCCGTGAACCTGTTGGAAGCTAGAAGACACCTCCCGGCTGGTTCTGAACACAATGTGACCAGACGGGCTATTAGGCGTGAACTAAAGCGGAGCCTACGTGCTGACAAGAAGCCTGGTGGACCAGTCGGGCTCAAGAAATGGAGGAGGCGGGAGCAGTAGGCAATTACCGGAAGCTCTTTCAGCTAATCCGCACCACTGGTCCCAGAAAACCAGGCGTCAATGAGACAATCAGAGACAGCGCGGGTGCGCTGATACACAATAAGGAGCGCCGTATGGCTCGTTGGGCTGAACACTTTGAAGATCAGTTCAGCTGGCCCCCTGCTCCCGGACCTCTTCCTACTCTAGTGATGCAGGACGTGCCATGGACGGTTAGTTTAAAGCCTCCGTCGGAGGCCGAGGACCGAAACGCGATCACAGCCCTTAATCGTTTTCGTGCCGCTGGCCCGGATTCCCTCCCACCTGCACTATTTAAGGATGGAGGTGAGGTCCTCTGCAGGGCACTGACCTCCCTATTCGAACGTAGCTGGAACGAAGAGTGTGCCGGCTAATTGGAGCGAATGGATTATAGTGGCAATATACAAAACGGGCAGTCGCACAGACTGTGCGAACCACAGGGGTATTAGCCTAACGCCAGTTGTGACAAAATTACTGGCCACGATTATCGTTCGTCGCCTCACTGCAGAACGGGTATCTCGGATTAGGGAAGAGCAGGCGGGTCTTCGCCCAGGACATGGCTGTATAGACCATATATTTACTTTGCGGCAGGTGCTAGAGCAGCGCCACGCATATCGCAGACCGACAATAGCTGTGTTTCTCGATTTCAAGAGGGTGTTCGATTCGGTCGATCGATCGATTCTGTTCGAATTACTTGCGCGGAAAGGTGTTCCCACGAAATATGTGAACATCCTTCGTGCTCTATACTCGAACACTACAGGCCGCGTCAGGGTCTATGGTGTCCTATCGGATAGCTTTTCGACTACAAGTGGCGTTCGTCAGGGTTGTCCGATTTCCCCGTTTTTGTTCAATTTCGTCGTGGATTCTATCATGGAGTGTTCCCTTGCGGAATCTCACGATGTAGGCGTTGAAGTGCTGCCTGGTGAAAAGTTAGTTGATCTAGATAATGCGGACGATATCGTCTTGCTTTTCGACGATTTTGCGGCGGCACAATCAACCCTGAATAGCCTGTCCAGAGTGGTCCCATTATTTGGTATGCACTTCGCACCTTCAAAGTGCAAAGTGTTGCTGCAGGACCACCAGCCACTTGATGACCCCTTGACGCTTGCTAACGAGGAACTCGAGGTGGTTGATCAATTCACTTATCTTGGCAGCTGCATCAGCAATGATGGGCGCATAGAAACTGACGTAAGCTCACGCACTGCAAAGGCCAGAGCTGCCTTCTTGAACCTGCGTCATCTTTGGCGACAGAAGGGAGTTTCCCTCCGTCTGAAAGGCCGTGTATACAAGGCCACAGTGAGGGCCGTTCTGCTCTATGGCAGTGAAACTTGGCCCCTTCGGTCTGAAGATCTGAGGCGCCTTCAAGTCTTTCATCATCGCTGTTTGCGAAGCAATGCTGGTGTCGGATGGCACCAGCGTATCCCCAATGATGATGTGCGTAGACGAGTACTAGGCAGTGATAATCATGCTAACACCCTAGAACAACAGATAGCACTGAATAAGTTGCGTTGGCTCGGGCACGTGCTACGCATGCCTGGTCACCGCTTACCTAGGAGGGCCTTGTTCAGTCCACCAGGTGTAGGATGGCGCAAGGCTCGAGGTGGACAGAAGTTGACTTGGCAGCGGGAAATGAAGTCACTGACGACCAAACTGGGTGCCTTTGGTCCGTGTCGCCTTTCGGGTTGGAGTCCACGTGACTCACCTTGTGCTTGGCTCGGGACTTTACAGAACATGGCTCACAACCGACACCAGTGGCGCGTCTGCTGCCGTCTCCTAATCGGATTGCCTGTTTAAAGTGTTTGGTGCTGAGTTATCTGCGGGGTAATGGCTGATTATGACGCGTGGCAGTGAAAGCCGCAAGGAAGCTGTCTCGCCGATGCCGCCTTATCTTTGCATGATAGCCAGCTGTTTGTGACGGTATGTTGTCTACACAAGGTGTAGGCGCCTTGACCCTGAATGTTTGCTTAGGGCATTAAGGTTTTCAGGTAAGTCCCACTTCTCTCCCTCTTCTTATTCTTTATTTCATAGGTTCTCATGGTTGTATGGCAGCGAAGCATCAGTTCAAATGGCTGATGTACTGCTGTTGATGATGACCTGGACATAGTCGGACCGCTTCCTCCATCGAACAATTTCATTTTCATTATAACTTGGGTTGACCGTTTTACTTGTTGGTCGCAAGCCATTCCTTTACGTGGCACTGTAGCGACCTGGAGATTCCCCCGTATGACTGTGTAAACTATTCTAAAATACATTCAAATTATAGCTTTCTTATGTATTAGGGAACTAGGCGGTTTGCCTGTTGGAACGTTGTTCCCGTTTGTTGAAAACACGAACGCCATCTCCGCCTTTGGCGCGCGCGACTCGATTGCGAACGACGCTCTGTCAACGCACTCGACGCCATCGACATTCTCCCTAGCTAGCTCTCTCCGGGTGCCCTATTTTTAGCATTAGCTAACGCTCCTCCCGTCCAATAAACTTTTCCCTAGCTTACTGTTGTGTCTTCTATCCATTATTTTTGGTTGGCCGTCTAGTCGCGTACCGGATATATAGCGCACGATCAACGCGCTATAGCACATCTTCAGACACTGTTGCCCCTGCATATTTCGACTCATGGATTTCCTTCTTTGGTGTGTCATCTACGATCACTACAGATCGAGGATCTCAGTTTGGTTCTACCTTGTTCCGTGACTTGAATCGTCTGTTGCGTTGTATTCACATTTGGACAACTGCTTATCATCTCGCTTCGAATGGCCTTGTCGAGCGTTTCCACCGACAGTTTAAAGCCGCCATCACAGCTAACTGACCTGATCCACATTGGTCTGAACGTATCCCAATCCTCCTTCTTGGTATTCGTAACACTGTCAAAAAGGATATTGGATGCAGTCCTGCTAAACTTGTCTTTGGCACCACTCACAAACTTCTAGGTGAGATGATTTTGGACTCCCGAATCACCGGTGAAATGGATCCCGTGTCCTACGCCGAACGACTTAAACGACACTTGCGAACAATTCAACCTATACTCGCTTCACTGGCCGCGCACAACGAATTCATGCTGACTTACATACCTGTCCTTTTGTTTTCATTGGCATTGATGCAGTTCGCAAGCCCTTGACACCGCCTTATGAAGGTGCTTTCAAAGTGTTGTCACGGAAGCCTAAGTACTTCATCCTGGAAAGAAATGGACCGAAAGGATCTGAGGATTGACCGTCTTAAACCCGTTCGTGTTGAGCCTATCGTTGCTGACTGATTCCAAGTTGTTACCCCCTGTTGGTCAACCGACTGATTCCAATGCTCCAGAACCTTCATGCTCACGCTCAACGAATGATTCCAAGCACACATGTTCAGAACGTTCTGTGTCTTTCCCCTCCAAACTAGCTGAGTTTGTTCCCTAAATAGCTATATCGAGCGTTAACTTACCAATTCACGCTCTAGGGGAGAGTTATGTAGTGGTTATTAATCTTTCACATTTTATCTCCGCTATCATCAAGCTATCATGATATCTTGTGTACAGTTTGTTTGAATTATTAACGAGTACAAGATACTTCCTCGCGGCCCGCGCTCCGTCGTGTTGATTTTTAACTGTGCTGCTTCTGCGTGGGGACGGTGCCTTCTGGTCTACTACCGAATCTGATATTAGACTCGGAATTACTATCAAACGTCTATTTCTATCGTGCTCGAAGTGCGCCACAGGTATAACGCAATCAACCATTCGAACACAACTGTGATTAGACTAAGAGTTGACTCTCCAACTTTTTGCGTTTACTAAAGGATTGAAAACTTCCTAGTATTCTTTAGACCACTACAGTGAGCACAAAATTAAGAATGTGCGGAGTCTGGCCGGGAAGAAACCGAGTGGGCGATGGTAAATGCTGGGAGAAATTCGTTTTGAGGATAATTTCAAGGACTGAGGTGAAAGGAAGCAAAAGGGCATAATGTTGCGATTGAGAACAGATTTGTGAAAAGAAATATAAGGAAGGTAGCACACTGTAGCAGGGCGAAAACAAAGAGAAACGTTTGCCTCATAGAAAAATGGGTGAGCAAATTGTAGCATAAAGCGAACAAAACGTACTTACATTGTGTAGATGCGAATGTCTCGCAGTCGTATCGAGACTGGGTCACGCGTCTAGAGCGATCTTTCGAGGGTTGACCGCCCATAACCTAAACAAACAGCATCAACAGGCCACACAGTAATCAACTGAACTGGTGACCGTCAGGGGCAACATACGGACCGGTAATCTAACCAACCAGTTAGGCCCATAAGCTGGTGAGGGCTGTATGGTACGCTAGGCTAAAAGTTGGTTAGGTTAATTGTGTATAAACAGAAGATGTACATGGATAATACGTCCACATGATGATATAAATGGATGACAAATTTAACTCCACTGCTGTTATTCAAGTGGATAACAATGGGCAATAAATCGCCGTGGCGCCACGTTAGAAGCTGTAAAATTGGCGGTCAATACGATTCTTGCGTTCGTTTCCCCTTAAATTTGCTGGCATGGTGGCGGAAGTGAGGCAATTTTAACTAGCGGCTGCGACATAATGCCACAATCAGCAAGTGGGGAATAGCTTTACCCTCAAACTTGGCTTGTATACATCTTTATTACGGACAGGGCGAAAGACTAACTCGGTTCCAGCAGTTATATGATCGCTGTCATCATGACGAGACTTGTTGGCTTACATGCACACGCTGCCATTGTCCTGTTGTCGAAGCACGTGGACAAAGCATCGTTAAAAGCTTGCTTTCGGAGTATTTACCGCAAACAGTGGAGCGCTTCAAACGAGGTTTGGAAGAAAGGTGGTTGGCCATGTTCGCCGTTTTCTTGTGAACGCTTATTTCAGCCACTAACCACATACAAGTAAAGTACGCAAATGCATGGAAATGCAGTGACCGTATTGCTATTCTTCCATTTTTTGTGCAAACGCAAGAATCGACCATCAAGTCGACTTGATGGGAGTTCTTCTCGCTTATTGACACAGGAAGGGGATGCTTGTTGAGCTGAAGGGTATTTTGTCCCTGGTTCCTCTGTTCTTACCCTTGTTGGTTGCTGAAGCCTTTTACAGTTATTCGTCATTTGACCACTGGACGTTTAGCAGCTACTCGCCGCTTGCGCGCCATTAATCATTTTCAAAAGACGCATTTACTTTGATTTCTTGTGTTGCTCAGTTCGGTGGAACTCGCCTGCGTGCCCTCGGTTTCTTGGTTATTGTGCCTGTTCTCTTTAGCAAAGAACCTGTAGCTTCATGCTTGCAGTTCTCATCGACTTTGTTTCACTCAATACGATTTGATGAGTCTAATTCGTTACATACTTCTTTTTCTTTTTTTCGTCGATTACACACCCATTCACCGTACAACGGTTCACCACTGTTGCTTATCCCTCACATTCATTTGACTTTCTAACTCTCATATCCAGATGATTGTGAGTGCAGTCCTAACTCTTCGTGTCCTCCTTCCGACGATTGGTTGGTTATATATGGCAAATCATCGTGAAGCGGAAGAAAATATCTCTTATTTGGTTTTCTGGTGGTGACCCGCCGATGCACTGGACCGCCTCCTTTGCCGACTCTTGGGGGGATCAGCTACAAGTTGTTTCAAAATTCTACGACCTGGGAAGTTTTATCTGCGTCCGTGGGATGGAACGTGAAACCACGAACCGCAGATCACAAGCTCGAGACTCTTTTGCTAACCTTCGCCACTTATGGCGCCGGCGCGACATCACGCTCTCCTTGAAGGGTATAGTGTGTAATGCGGCGGTACTTTTGACCCTACCGTGCGCTTGTGAAACCTGGCCCCTTAGGTCAGCGGACATAAAGATATCCATCTGTTAACGGTAGTTCAGCTGGCTTGCGTTCGTTGCATTTTTTCCTGTTCTTTTAATTATGGCGGCACAGTAGCTAAGTTGTTTCCCACCTCTAGCTAATGTGTATAAAGCTGATGACGATAATGAGGGTGTGACCGCATCTTCGGTCGTCGCAGTGGCGTTGCGTTGTGCATCAACTCAGCCCTTACTGCCTTTATGACGCATACTTTATGCACTCGCAACTTCTTTTTCATCCGTTTTACTTAGAGTTGTGTAGGTCGATAGTAGCTCCATTAGGGTTGAGGGTGGTCTAGTTGATATTAGCTGTAAACCTTCAAGGAATAAATGTTTAGAGATGGGGAAATTTCTTTGTACCCACCATGACTGGCAGCATTCCTCCTGAGATGCTTTTACAAATTGTTTTGCTACCGAGCGTCTCGATCTAGCCTTGCGTGCTCCCCTGCGTCAGTTCGTTAATCTTCCAGCTAGATTTATGATGGCACAAATCATTTCCCTTTTGGACCCTTGCTAATTTCCTTAGTTTCTTCATGGACATGGTATACAAATTATAGCATGTGCCTTCCTGACCCAGTTTTTCTTTTTCACACTGTCTGTTTGCATTCAGTTTTGAATTGGGAGGATAACTCTTTGGGCCTGGCGCCAATCGAGCTTTGTCTTACCAGTCTCCTGCTTTCTGACCACTTCCACACATCCGAGACGTTAACGATCTAGGCTCTGCAGTCCCAAAATTCTGTTCTTCTCAAGCGGAGACCTTTGCACGGCCTGCTAACTGCCATTTCGTATAGAAACTTTCGTCGCGCACTGCTTCTTTTATGACAGTCATTACTGTTAGTCCCAAGTTAATTTGGCGGCATAGGCTCAACTTGCTGACCAAGCCGGTCTCGTCTGAATGCTCTCCTATTTTCTGACCTCTAGAGGGCTTCTGCAATCTAAATGCTCTAGGCTCTGCCAACTTAGCGCGCTGCAACGCTCACCTCAAGAACATTGCTGGTCATGGTTCATCCTTATTATTACATTCTCTTTCTTCCTTAACGTTTCCATTGCTGCAGTTGCTCTATGTTCGTATTCAAGCCTTAATAAATAGTGTTTTTCTTTATGGGCCGATATTATGGACCCGGTTTAATGATCTCCTACCTTTCGACTACTGTGACCCTAATGATCAGGGATCGCACTCCGAAAGTATGCTCACATCACCTCGAGAAATTCGTTGACATTTCGACTTCTCCTAAATAGAAACTTTTAAGTTTCGCACTCTGTTTGCCTTTCTTCTTTAGCTGGACAGATTATCCTTTTAGCCTGGCTCTAATATAGGCGACGTCTGAAGGTCTCCTGCTTTCGGACTACTTCCACACTTCCGAGACGTTAGCGAATAAGGCTTGGAGGTCCCAACATTCTGTTGTTCTTAACATGAACCCTTTGCTGGGCATACTAACTGCCTTTTTATATAGCCACTTTCGTCACGTAGTGCCTCTTTTCTTATGACACCCATTACGGATATTCCCACATTAATTAAGCGGCCTAGCCTCATCTTGTTGACTTATCCGGTCCCATCTGAAAGGTCTCCTGCTTTCTGACCTCGTTCAAAGTTCTGAGATCCACATGATCTTGACACTGTGTTCGCAATGCTCTGTTACGTTTACCTCAAGAGCTTTGCATGTAATGATTCACCCTTATTATTATATCACTTGTATTCTTTAACACGTCTGTTGTGACAAGGCTCTCCGCTAGTATTCCGACATTAATATATGGCTTTCCCTCTACGAGCTGATATTCTAGACTTGTCTCAATGGTCTAATACTTTCCGACTATTGAGACCTTACCGATGAATCATCGACAGATCCAAAAGTCTGTTCACAACACATGGAGGTCTCTATAAGCTTTTCCACATCTCTTCGATAAATTCTTTTACATTCCGACACTATTCTTTTCGCGCTCGCTGTTTGCATTACTTTTAATTGGACGGATAACTCTTCGGGTCTGGCTCAAACCGAGACTAGGCTGACAAGTCTCCTGTTTTTGGTTGCTCCCAGACATCCGAGACGTCATCGATCAATGCGCTCGGATTACCGTGCTTTCTAAACCCTTTATATGGGTGTTTAGAAACAACGGTTATTCGAGAAATTGCAGCAGAAGATTCCTAATGAAACGAAGACCTCATCAACATCAGTAGCAGTCCCCTGAGCAAGCAAACAAACGAATAGCGCTGCCCTACAGCAAGAACGTCTCCGAACTAACAGGCTGGTTGCTGCGGTCACATGGCATCTGTGGCTAACAACCCAAGTGCCACCCTATATAAATTGATCTCAAGACCCAAAGGAGCAGCCAAGCAAGCCGGCCAATGCAATGTCATCTATCAGCTAAAATGCAGCGGTTGCGATAAACACTGCTGCGGACAAACTAGAAAGCAGATATATGCACAAATAACCGAACACAAGGCGGCCGTCAGCTGGTGCGATCCGCACTCGTTGGTTTCTGCGCACGAAGGTCAAGAATGCCGCCATTTCGATCTGGAGAATATTAAGATACTAGCAAATGGAAGTAAGAAACACGCCGCGGTGTTTTTTGAAGCCTGGTACTCTAAAACGAATTCAATCAATCGACGCATCGAGCTGGCCGCAGTACACGTAACACTACTGGCGAAGGAACGCCGACACACTCGATTGAATCCGGTGGAACGTGTGGCTAGCCAACCAGAAATGACGACACACGCACGCACAGGCGCAAACAGACCAGGATCACGAAACGCATGGGGTCAAAGTCAAAGGTCATCTGCCCATCAACCAGGCTGAAGGGGGATATAATTCCCAGCTAATAGGATTGCTCGCTTCCACGGGCCACCCCGGCGGTAGAAAAGCCCACGCACGCCATGCTCAGCGCACTCTCACCCAGGCCCCTCTACGCTATTTTACGCTACTGCACGTCACGCAACTACGCACTGACGAGGCTACCTCGGTTGTTGACGAAACGTTTGCAAGCAAATTGCCAAGCTCAACGAACGGTTCAACTGTCATCAGAACAACCTGAACTACCATTCTTCATTTCCTTAGTATTCCAGACCTCTGAGGGTTTAACGATTGGGGCACGGTGGTTTCAAAAATTAAATAAATAAATAAATGGTGTATTCCGCTGCCTTAGTGCTTGGTTCTTTATGCTATATACCTATGGCGGCGCAACGCGCTGTCCCCTTACCTTAAGTACATTGCTGGGCTTTATTCATCTTCCTTTTTCCTACCAAGGATGAAGCACGACCGTAAGAATGTTGTTGGCTTTTCCACTTCTGCTAAGTATATCCTTCTTTAGCGACGCCTATCTTTCCTTCCCGTGCTTCCTGTT